AGATGGGGACAGCTGTGCCACTTCTGAGAAGACGCTGCCTCCCGTGTAGACACTTTTATTATGTGGCCATGGTCCTTTCCGACTCTCACATCTCACAGGACTCGTCCCAACCCCTCAGACTCCTGGTCATACGGCCCTTTTCCTGTCCAAATCTGCAAGGGAAGTCCAGCCCATGTTTCTGCTGCTAAACCCTCCAGATAAACAAACAACATTTGCAAAGCACGTTGTGGTTTTCTCTAAGCTTCCCCTGCCTTTTAAAATTGTGGTAAAGTACACATAACATGAAATTTACCATTCGAACCATTATTAAGTATACAATTCCGTGACATTAAGAACCTTCACAATGTTTCCAACCTTTTTTCATTAGCATATTCATTATTACAAATCATAATTATTCTTTATGCCCCTTTCCGGACCAAAACCTCCCCAACCCCCTCTCTCCCCCCCATCTCTAGTATCCTTAGGTTTGAAGAACTTTCCCAATATTGTGCAACCATCACGCCCAGAACTTTAAAAATCATCCATCTATAAGCTTTTGAATCAACAGTCTCACAACACATTTTGTCTGGCTTCTGCCCAGGATTGCCCTGGAACTGGTTCCTCTGGGCTGTCAGAGACCTCCTGACGGCCAAATCTCATGGGTTGTCTCCGGGTCTTGTCTTGCTTCTGGTCTGAAGCATTTGAAAATCTGGTTTCCCAATCCCTTCCAGAAGTTTCTCCTCCTGAGGTTTTCCTAACACCCTCTCTCCTGGATTTCCTCCTATCTCTTAGGTCTTTTCTTCCAGCTTCTTGTCCACCTGGCTCAGAAACTCATCTCCACTCCCTGGACTGGTGCAAGAACCAGCTGGCTGGTTTCTCTTCCTCTGGCCCTGCCCATTCGATCAATGTGATCTTTCTGGCAGGGAAATCAAGTCTGCAAGTGTGGCCCAGACTGACAGGATAAAAGTCTAACCTCCTTAGGTAGATCTATAATGCTCCTTGTAATGTGGCCCTGGCGATCTCTAACATTATCCTCGCCCTCACCCCTTTACAGCCTGCAGTGTAGATCCATCTATAGTCACAGTGTTGAAAAACCAGGCTTCTTTGTCCTTCTCTGGTTGCTCTACTTAGAACTTATGTTGCAGTTGCTAGGTGTCTGTCTGTCTCCCATGAAGGGAAATCTCCTGGAGGGCAGAATCTTCCTTGCTTTCTTGATATCTCAGTGTTTAGTATAATACCTTACACTTGGACGATAAAGAAATAAATGTGAGCAGCTCTAGAAAAGAAATCAAGGTCTTGATGGAGTGAAAATCAGTGTCATAGGAAGCCTAGAAGTCAGGTCTTGAAAAGTCCTGACCCTTCCCATTCTATAAACATCCTTCCTGCTGAGGGAC